AGGCCATCTGCAGGTTGTTCTTCAGCACCCTCAGGGGGCCAGCTCAGGAATGGTTCGGCCAGTTGAGGCCAGGCACCATTGATTCATACGAACAGCTTTCCCGGCAGTTCATGGCACAGTTTGCTGCCAGCACCACCCCCAGGAAGGATGTCACGGCACTCGCCCACATCAAGCAAGGGCGGGACGAACCGCTGGCTAAGTTCCTGGTGAGGTGGAGGGACGAGGTACTGCAGGTCGACGATCTGGACGAACGTCTGGCCACCAACATGTTCACCAGTGCGCTGGCCACAGGGGATCTGTACCGGGACCTGAGGAGGAATCCCGGCACCAGCTACACCGAGGTTTTGGCTCGGGCACAAAAATATGCCTCCATTGAGGAGGAGATCAGGCAGCGGGACGGAGTTCCCGCAACCCAGCCTAGGAAGATGGCGGACAGGCTCGGACCCAAACCGGGACCCGGGCCCTCACCCCCAAACAAAAAGAAGAGGTTGGACGGGGCGATGATCCCATGGAAGGCTCCCCCCGGAGACAACCAGACGCGGCCGGACGACCGCTATATACCATTGGCATATCCAGTGAGCCAGATCTTCGAGGCCATCAAGGACAAGGGCCTCCTGACGGAACCTCAAGATATGAAGAAGTATATGGGGCTTGACCAATCGGCCTACTGTGAGTACCATCAGAGGATCGGCCACCTGACGGACAACTGCAGCCAGTTAAAGAAAGCGATCGACGAGCTGATCCGTCAGGGGTACTTGGGCGAATTCACCCAGCTGCTGAACAAAAACAGTCAGCAGAAGCCGACCCCAAGGCACAAGACATGGCGCCGCGACGACCGGCGCGAGGCAGAACCTCAGGACGTGGATTATCGGAGTGCAGATAAACGTCCGGAGGGATCCCTCGGCCCAAAGGGCAAGAAGAAGAAGTTGGAGATCAAGGTGATCTTCGGGGGCGCTGAGACAGGAGATACACCCGCCGAACGGAAAAAATTTGAGAGATCACTGTATGTGGGTTCCGTATCAGCACCCCCCACCAAGCGCAATAAGATCGAGGCAATTACCTTCGGCCCCGCTGATCTGCCAATGTCACCAGCACCGCACAGGGACGAGCTGGTGATCAGCATGGACGTGAACGATGCCATCGTCCGGCGCGTCCTTGTTGACACCGGGAGCAGTGTGAACGTCCTCTACTGGGAGGCTTTCGAAGGGATGAAGCTCAGGAAGGACATGCTGCATCCCCTACGCACCCCGCTGTCCGGCTTCACTGGGGATTGCATCGACGCCGAGGGCACCATCGCCTTGCCAGTAGAAATCGGCGACGGTCCTCATACGGCCCGAATCAGCATGACGTTCGTCGTGGTCCGCCTAAAATGCGCCCACAACGCCATTTTGGGCCGACCCGGCTTGGAAGACTTGGAGGCCATATGCTCCGTACGGCACTCATGCATCAAATTCCCCACCGACACTGGAGTGGGAGTGGCACGTACGGACCCGCATATGGCCAGGGCCTGCTACACGAAGGCGATGGAGAAGCTCAACGAGCGGGAGGCTCGGGTCAACAGCATCTCTGAGAGGGCCAAACAGGCCGACTTGGATGCTCATCTGGAACCAGCAACTCTGCTGGAGGAAATCGAGCTCGACGACCCGACGGACAGGAAGGTGTCCATCGGTGCAGATATAGAGCCGGAGATCAGGGCGGGGGTCATAGCTGTCCTGCGGAGATTCCGAGTCTTGTTCGCCAGAGGACCGGAGGACATGCCGGGCATCGACCCCAACCTCATATGCCACAGACTCGCCGTGCGGCCGGACGCCAAGCCTGTACAGCAAAAGAAAAGATACATGGCGGCCGACCGACGCGATTTCATCAGGAAGGAGACGGCAACTCTCCTCAGCATTAAACACATCCGTCCGGTCATCCACGTGGAGTGGCTGGCCAACGTGGTACTAGCCCCGAAGGGCGACACTTGGCGGATGTGCGTCGATTATTCGGACCTAAACAAAGCTTGTCCGATGGATCCTTACCCCGTTCCGAGGATCGACTTGCTGGTGGATGAAACGGCAGGCTGTGAGCTGCTCAGTTTCATGGACGCATTCAGGGGCTACCATCAGGTGTTCATGCACCCCGATGATGCCGAGAAAACGGCGTTCGTCACGGCGGACGGCGTGTATTGCTACATCGTCATGCCGTTCGGCCTGAGGAACGCCATGGCTACTTTTCAAAGGATGATTGGGATGTTGTTCAAAGACGTACTTGGGAAGACAATGGAAGCTTACGTGGATGACATCCTGATCAAGAGCAAGAGAAAGGAGGACCATGTCCAGGACATGGAGAGGGTCTTCGGCATCATGGAGAGGGCCAGCATGAGGCTCAATCCGAAGAAATGTGCCTTCGCCGTCCGGGGTGGCAAGTTCCTCGGCTACATGATGAGCGAGCGGGGGATCGAGCCTAACCCGGAGAAAGTGAAGGCAATTATGGACATGGAGGCCCCGAAGAGCCTAAAGGATGTGCAGCGACTCACCGGGCGTCTGGCGGCCCTGAGCAGGTTCTTGTCCAAACTGGCCGATAAGGCGATTCCCTTTTTCCAGATCATGAAGAAGGCCAATCCCTTTGAATGGACCCCGGAGTGTCAGGCTGCCTTCGAAGATTTCAAGGTGTATCTCTCCTCCCCGCTCATCCTCACCAAAGCGGATCCCGGGGAGAGATTGTACATGTATCTGGCAGTGGCCGACCTGGCTGTAAGTGCCGTGCTATTGAAGGAATCTGAAGGCGTTCAGCGGCCGATATACTTTGTGAGTAAGGCGCTGAACGGCCCCGAAACGAGATACACACTGATGGAAAAGACGATCCTTGCCTTGATTGCATCCATCAAGCGCCTGTCGCCGTATTTCCAAGCACACCCGGTGACCGTCTACACAACGCAACCCCTCGCCACCATCCTCAGGAATCCAATGGCGAGCGGGAGGATAACCAAGTGGTCCCTGATGATCGGCCAGTATGACGTAGACTTCAAACCAAGGCCGACGATCAAGGGACAGGCACTGGCGGACTTCATTGCAGAATGCACCGCGCGCACCGCGGACGAAACCCATGACAGCAACAACTTCGATAATTGGTGGGAGATGTACACCGATGGGGCCTCGAGTGCGCGGGGCTGTGGCGGGGGAGCGGTGATCACTTCCCCCGAAGGTTTCAAGGCCTACTACTCTATGAAATTCGAGTTCAGGGTCACCAACAACGAGGCTGAATACGAGGCGCTTATCGCAGGACTGAAATGCGCGAAAGCCCTCGGAGCGGCTCGTCTGAAGGTGAGAATGGACAGCCAGCTGGTGGTAACCCAGATGAACGGCACGGCAGAAACCAGGGAAGAGAGAATGAAAGTCTACAAAGAGCTGGCGGAGGAACAGACCGCACAATTTGAGCAGGTGGTGCTTGAGCAGGTATCGCGGGTGGAGAATGCAGAGGCGGACATACTGTCGAAACTGAGCAACCCCCCAACCGATGATCCGGCATCAAGCATCCCCCGGCACATCAGAGGCTTCGTTAGGCAGGAGGTGTTCCTAACACCGGCGACGGACGTCATTCAGGTGGAGGTTATCTCCGTTGCCGAACCTAACTGGGCAAAGGAGATAGCAGATTATCTCAGAGATGGAACACTCCCTGAGCCCGAAGGTGATGGTAGTACAGGAAGAGCCGCATGGATAAAGAGACGTGCCCTTTTAGCAAGTAGGTTGTATTTAGGGGAGTTATTACGAAGTTAATAATACCTATTTACATTGCCTGCTATTACTTTTGTCTCCTGATCCATCTGATAGTTGTTGGGCTAGACATTCATACACTCACTCCACTCGAAACCTTTGGGCTTACGTGTTGGGTCCACGGGTTGAAGGAATAAACCTCAACACCTTGTTTGGTAAAGTTTGTGTGGTTCTAAATCGTTCCCACTTTATTCTTACTTTATCAATTCAATATCAACCACATAAACTCACTTTTATTAATAACCGTGACACCTTCTCTTGTCCCAAACTTAGGGGGACGGAGGTAGTACATACTACGTAGTAGCATTTTGATAAGTGGTAGTTTTAAACACAAAAGTATTACTTCTTATCAATCAAGAGAAGACATAAGACATGAGAGCACAAGATATAGCCACATAAATGTTAATATACGAAGTATAAATTATCTATTTCCTTATTTGAATGATCTTATACAATTTTGGTAAGTTTTTCTTAAACTTATCAAAATAGCGGAAAGAGTCACGGAAATTGGAAGAGAAGATGCCACAGGAACTGCGGAAATAATAGGACTTCTCTGCTTCTCACGGTCTCATTTCAGAATTACAGAATGTTTGTATATATAGGAAAGTAGGAGTTTTTTAGGATTCCTAAATTTTTGTTGCCTAAGATCGACTTCTTCTCACAAAAAATATCGACTTCTAACGTTTCTGAGACTCTAAATATCGACTTCTAACGTTTCTGAGACTCTAATTTTGAGGGGAATCTATCTTTATCTTTATAAAATATTTCCTCCATTTTTTTAGTTGCAACGGTCAACATTTCACACTTGACAACACACGTATTTGACCGTAATTATATCTTAATCTCTATTAGTAAAAAAATTAAAAATCAGATTTTGAAAATTTGTAATGAGATGAATTGAACAATACTTTTAAAAAATATTTTTCATAAAATAATAGTGTAAAATGTAGTCAAAGTAGAACATGTGAATAGTGTAAAATTCAACATGTTGCGATTAAAAAACGGAGATACTATAAAGTAACAAGTTTAGGCAACCATTGGAGGAGAAAATCAAGCCTATAATAAGGGCAAAATAGGGAATTAATGAAAAAAATTAGTAATTAATTGTATTAAGTGAAAGGTAGGAGAGAAATATACTTCGTATTATGCATAGACCAAGCATTAATAATGATTTTTACTCGAATGTTACCATATATGCTTAGGTTGCTATAATTATTATGCTCACATAATAGCATATGAATGATAAAAATTATTCCGTATAATATTACGTATCATATTTTTTTGTGAGAAGAAGTCGATCTTAGGCAACAAAAATTTAGGAATCCTAAAAAACTCCTACTTTCCTATATATATATATATACAAACATTCTTGTAATTCTGAAACGAGAAGCAGAGAAGCCCTATTATTTCCGCAGTTCCTGTGGCATCTTCTCTTCCAATTTCCGCGACTCTTTCCGCTGTGGTCGAAATTAAATCAGACTATTTGATTATTTCCGAGCTCTCTTGAAGAATGACTAAGGAAGCCGAAACCCCTCCAATCCCAGCACAAGAAGAAAACTCCGAGGGAACAATGACTTCTCAGTCAACATCTGCAGAAAACGCTTATTCTGACTCCGCAAATACAGTTTCCAATGATCAGGACACAGACTCAGATATTGAAGACAATGGGATAGTGGAAGAAGATGGGATCATGTTTAACTACAAGACTAAAGATTTTAATGATTTTGAAGGGTTGTGGAAGGCGTTGCATGCTAAGGAACATATCATACGCAATATGAACCTTGAACTTCGAGATGTGTTTGAAGCGGTGAAGGAGAGCCAACTCAGCGTCCAAGGTCACGCATACTGTAACGTGTCTGCTTTTTTTCATGGCGGTGCCGGAAAGGTAACTTGGATTGGTGCATGCTTACGAAAATCCAAGTACAACGTGGGATAATAATAATTTCTTAATTGTTCAATTGTAACAGCTATATTTTAATTATTATAGTATCCATTGTATCAGGGTAGCTCATGATGAGTGATGCTATATTTTGCGTCTTTGCGATGTGTAAGCCTTAATTAGTTAATTGTGGGATATACATTGTCGTTTATTTTATTTTATTTTATTAAATTGTTACCTTAAAAAAATATTGAAATTATCATTCAATTTGGTACTTCCTCTGTTTCGAATTGTAAGACACTTTTTGGTTTACAATCTTTGACTGCCGATAAATCAAACAAATCCATGTCCGCACTCAAGTTAATTATTTAAAAAAAAGAATTACATATTCATAAACTACAATAAAAGGCTTACAAAGTCGCAAAAACCAGAATCAAATTTGATATATACAGTAAGAGATTAAGAATAATTTATGTTGATCAAGTGAATAAGAAAAGTATTTTACAAGATGGAAGTAATATTTTAAGCAAAATTCCTTTACACATTTACACTCTAACATACTTTCACATATTTTATACTCACGTAAGTCAGGTCTGATCTGGTCTGATAAGATTTGATCATTTAAATTTGGTCTAGTATGGGACTTAAAACAATCGAAGTAAAGACATCCTTAGTTTGAAAGACAATCAAATCAATTTACTAACAAGTATTTCAAAGTAAAAAATAAAAATAACAATATTTTATTAAATTTTTTAAACTTTATTACTTCGTTTCTTGTTAGTTTATTCTCAACCTACATAAAACCCTTCAATGTTTTTTAGAGTAGTTCACGGGCTTCAAAATCATGAAGGCCCACGCTTTATTTAAAAAGCTAGATAGAAACCCCGCCTGGCATTAGAGCTTGAGTTGATGGTCAAAGAAATCAAAATCATTCAACTTGATCCTTACTATTTTCCTTAAACCGATCAATCCTGAAAGGATCCAGGCCAGGTGAGTTAGTTGAAGATCCGGTTGAGACAAGATCCGCCAGAATCTGGCCTATTAACGGCCCCATTTTGAACCCGTGGCCGGAGAACCCGCCGGCAACCACCACATCCTTGCCGAACTTCCCGCCCAGGAAGTCAATTACGAAGTCCTCGTCCGGCGTCATTGAATACATACACGACTGCGACGTTACCGGCGCAGACGAGTCCACCTTTCCCCCGAATCGTTCCTCTATCCACTGTTTGAGTGAGGCCTGAGCACTGGCCGAGGGCGCAAAGGTGCGGCGATCGGGCTCACATTCGGGTCCCCCGTGCCAACCAACCTTCAGCAGCCCGGGGTACTCGAACGACGGCGTTCCGTACACGTACGGAATGCCGTAGCTCGCGAACACCGGGAAGCCAGACCCAATGGTGAACTCTTCTTCGTGACCGGGTTTTATCCTCCAATAGGAAACGTTCGTCTCCAACGGCCGAATGGGAAGCACCATTCGGCCGTTGGTGACGGTTTTAACTAATTTTTGCGCCCACGCGCCGACAGTGACTACACATTTTTTCCCGAGGAACTTATCACCATTCTTTGCGGTGACGCAGATGCCACCCGTCCGGTCATCTCTCTCCACGCCGTTAACCTCCACGTGGTCTCTGAGAGTCGCGCCGTGCTTAACGGCTAGGGATTGGAACATGGAAACGGCTTTGGTCGCCTTAATAACGCCGCCGAACTCAGTCACGACGCCGACCCAATCCTCCGGCAAATGAAAGCGGCCGTCAAATTGTTCCTCCACCTGTTTTGGATCCAAAACTCGGACCGGAAGGGATGTGTTCCGGCAGCTGGAGACGACGGCTTGCAGCCTCTTGTTGGTGGCAGGGCACATATCGAGCTGTGGGGTCCGGAAGTAGACACTGTAGCCGATCTCTCCTTCGGCTTCGCGCCAAAGGGGTTCGGCGGCTAAGGCCATTTTCGTAAAATATTCTTTCGGGTAAGTGGCGCGGTTGATTCTGGACTCGCCGTGGGAGGAGCCGCGGTGGTGGAGGAAGTCGAATTGCTCCAGGAGAAGAGTCCTAAGGCCGCGTTTGGCAGCTTGATAAGCCGTGCAGCTCCCCATTATTCCTCCTCCGATGACTATCACATCAAATTCGACGTTTTCCATTTTGCCGGGAGGATTCAATTGTTTTTAAAAAAATTTGGTATTGCTATTGTAAGGGAAAATGTGGGTTGAGAAGAGAGAGTTCAATCCGAAGTTATAAATTCTTAGAGGGATCGACCAAACTTCCATATTCAACGAGCAAACATTTAGGTCGATGGATCATAAGGTAGTTCCTCCATAATCAAATGTTTGCTACAATTGGTAATTTCGGATAGAACCACCACCTATTGCAAAATCAATAGAAATTGCTTCACTGGTCATTCTAATTTTGTTTTCACATGCATATCAAGAAAATGGAATTACATACAAATATGCAATTGTGATAGATATAAACATATGAAATAGTACCAAATACACCAAACATCTTAAAAAGAAATGGAAAAAATAAGTCATCTATAAAAGGAATATCACAAGAAGAATACTTCCTTCTCCGTCCTTTTTTAATTGCAATGATTCACTTTTCATGTTTGTCAATGCACAAGTTTGACCAATAATTGCAATGATTCACTTTTCTGTTTCACCCAATTCAGTGGAGCCCAATTCTTTTTTTTAATGGAGTTCAGCCCAAATGTTAACCCACTCCACTAATTTATTTAATTTTTATCCACTACAAAATATTTAGATAATTCACAAAAATTGCAAACCTTGCTGACATTTGGCTACTCTATTTGTACTAGTTTTGTTATGCACGTTATGCAAATGGAGTAATGCCCAATATTATTTATGTTGTACAATAATGAGGTTGAAAAAAAAGGTAGTGTAAAGAAGCTTTTTTTTATTTAGTGGTAAACTACACATTGACAACAAGTATCGTCGATGTTGTGGTAAGAATTTGTTCCCAAATTAATACTCTATATATGTATGTTTTTTGTTCCTTTTTTGTTTAGATGTAAATTATACAAATCAAAGAAAAAGAACGTCCATACAAGTTTTATGTTATCGAACAACACCAAGAGGCAAGTGTAGGAAGTGTTAGTTGGATTGTACTAAAGTTATGTACATCTCATTTTCAAAGTATGAAAGTTAATTAGGTTAGTTAGGGTGTTTGAATCTGATTCTTAAAACCGCTTCTACTCCTTTAGGGAGTAGAAGCAGAAGTTAGAGTATTTGGGTTAAAGTGCAGAAGTGATTATGGTGTTCTAATATACTCATAAAATCAGTTTTTTTAGAAGCTGGAAGAAACCAACTTCTGAAAACTGATTCTGATTCTGTTTATGCTTTAAAAAAAGAAGTAGAAACAGAATCAATTCCAAACACTCCCTTATCCCTTAGTATTACAAATTTAAATTTGCATAATGAAATGTTTGTATGCTTGAATTTCTAAAACAGAAAGATCTCACCTGTGAGACAAAAAGCGTGAGCCTTTATATGATAAACAAATGTAAACCTTAGCTTGGGGAAGCAATTGTATTGCTTATAAAAATAATAATGAATTAAATAGCATCTAAGCAAGTTAGGCTTTGTTTGCAACCACTTGTGCTTAAATAAAAGCACTTTTTGATAAAAAGTGGTTAATAGTAAAAGTTGGTAGTGTTTGGTAAAATAAGTGCTTTTTGTGTAATAGAAAAAGTAAAAAGTAGTTCTTCACGGAGCTAGGTCGAGAAAGTAAAAATTGGTAGTGTTTGGTAAAATAAGTGCTTTTTTCTTTAAAAAAAGCCAAAATCACTTTTCTTAAATAGTTCCAAACAAAGCCTTAGTTAGATTTCTACAACGTAACTCCCACAAAGCAGCAATAATCAAGTCTTCTTAGGGAGTGTTTGCAATTGTTCAACTTTAAAAAAGTGATTTTTTAAAGTGATTTTGAGAAAAGTGATTAATAGTAAAAGTTGGTAGTGTTCGAGAAAAAAGTGATTCTGAAAAAGTAAAAGTTGGTAATGTTTGGTAAAATAAGTACTTTTTGTGTAATAGAAAAAGTGAAAAGCAGTTTAAAACACCCTTCCACCTGCTTCCAACTTTTAGCTTCTAAGTGATATATTTAAGCAGAAGCTGTCATTTGAAAACACTCTTTTTAGCTTTTTTTTAAGTCAAAAGCTGAAAAGCGCTTTTTTTAAGCAACCGCTAAAGTATAGTTGGTGTACAGTTGTACACAATGACATTGTAATTGGAATGAAAAAGGCAGAATAACCAGTCTTCAAAAACACTCCTTTAAGGAGTGTTTTCTATTGCTTACTAAAAGTGCTTTTGAGCTTTTTGCTTAAAAAAGTTGAAAGGAGTGTTTTCAAATGACAGTTTCTGCTTAAATTAATCACTTAAAAGCTAAAAGCTGGAAGCAGGTGGAAGGATGCTTTAAACTGCTTTTCACTTTTCATATTACACAAAAAGCACTTATTTTACCAAACACTACCAATTTTTACTTTTTCAGAATCACTTTTTTCTCAAACACTACCAACTTTTACTATTAAGTACTTTCTCCAAAATCACTTTAAAAAATCACTTTTTTAAAGTAGAAGCAATCGCAAACACTCCCTAAATTGCCTGCTTTCAAATTTGTGACACTGTGAGGCCAGGGGTCTTCCTGCGGACTATAGGCACCTCGGTGTTATCAAATGTATAGACGACAACAACATTATTACCTCAGTATCGCAAATGTCCCACCTACAGTGGGGTAGGGGGTCCGATGTATGCAACTTTGGGTATGTTTGGAAAATGGCTTATCAGCCAGCTTTTAGCTTGTTTGACCTATTTCAGCTGTTTGATTAGTCAAAGAAGCTAATAATAATGTTTAGTAAATGGCTTTTAAAATTAGCTTGTTGAGTTTGAAAAGCTGAAAAAATGGATGATTGAAGAAGCTAAGGGGAACAACTTCTTCATTCGGCTAGTTCAATTTATTCCCATAAGGGTATAGCTCGAAGCTCCCAAAGTAGCTGCATAGCTCCAATTTATTCCCATTGTGGTTTTGCTCGTTTTTTTAACTTAGTCAACCCAATTATTTTGCTTACCAGTTTTTCTTCTTTTCACTCCTTTTGCTTTCATTGTTTTGACCTAGAATTGTTTAAATTAATCGTTTAAGTAATATATACTAATAATTACTCTAATTATTTTAAACAAAACTTGTTTAATCAAATACGTAGTACTATCTAGACAAATAATATATGCTTAACTAATATTTTATATTATTAGTTATGCTCTCTATCTTGAATTAATTTGATGTTTCTGGTTTAGATGGTTGAGTGATTATAAAATTAGATACTACGGATTATAAATTTTAGGATTATTAGCTTATTTTATCCCAAACTATCATCAAATTCACAAATATATCCTATTCTTTCACTTTTATAAAAAAAGACTCAAACTTCATATTTTTCAACAATTATGCTTTTTTTTTTGTTTTTTTTTAAATTACATATTTTTATCAATGCCATTAAGATATAAGCAATTCAAAATTCAAACTTAAGACTAGAAAGAAGTGAAAAATATGAAATATAAATATGATTTTCTTCTTAAGTTTTACTAATTTATCCATTGAAAGTGGAATTGTGAGAAAAATTGAAGTTTGAGTCTTTTTTTAATAAAAGTGAAAGTATAGGATATATTTGTGAATTTGATGATAGTTGGGGATATATTTAGCTAATAATCCTAAATTTTATAGTATGATGAACATTCGATATATCAAAGTAGATATTAAAATAGATTTTATTCAACAAATTTTAAAATTTCTAGTTATAAAAATGATTTATATCGTTGAAGTAACAATAATTATAAAATTTTCATTCTTAGCAATAATAAAATATGAATATTATTATGTCTTTATATGTCTTTTTACACTCTATCAACCATTTTGAAACAGCCAACACAACCAGCTGTTACCCTAATAGCCAACACAACCAGTTGTTACCCTAACAGCTGACACAACCAGCTAAATCTCCATAAAAATTAAATGATTTGGATTCATTGTATAATGGTACATTGTCTGGTACATGCATGAAAGTTGCATATATTTTATTGTTATGTATTTGTAACAAATATATTACTCCTAGACATATACATAGTAATAGATTTCGAATGCGCTCAAAGCTATGTTTATTGACCATTGATACACGTAACAAGATGGAGTGTGGGGATTCCAAACACCCAACTTGAGAGATAAAAATGTAAATTGATCAGCAAGAAGAGCTTTGGTAAAAATGTCCGTACACTGGGAATTAATAATGATTGAAAACATGAGACATGCAAATATTACGAATTGAATGAGATCGTGGGCAAAGTGCAATATGCTTGGTGTGTTCTTGAAATACAGGATCAACAACAATGGGAAGGAAAATTTTGAGGCAAACAAGCTCACATGCATGACTGACCATAGAATGGTATTCGGCTCCAACAGAAGATCGGGAGACTGTATGTTACTTTTTAATTTTCCAAGAAACATGCAAATCTTCTAGTGAAACAAAATATCCAGTAACAAAATGGCGAGTAATAGGGCAGTTGGCTCAATTGGAATCACAAAAGCCATAGAGAAGAAGATATGAATCATCCCAAAGTAAAATTCTGATCTGGGTTTTTGCATGAATTGCGCCAAAGTGTGAACACAATAGCTAACCTCTGATCGTGTAAGAGTCAAATAAATAATCTTGCCAATAAGACGAAGATAGCGATCCGCTGGAGAAGTATAAATACATATTGCAATAATGCAATATAAATACATGTTGCAAAATTGCAATGTACTCCCTCCGTCTCCGAAACAACTTCTCAGTTTGACTTACACGCATATTAAGAAAATAAACTTACCAGGGGGTAAATGTTACTGTTTTGACACTGTTTGGCACTGTTTGACACTGTTTTGTACTGTTTGACACTGTGACACCGCTCCCAATTAAAACTTGGATTTATTAATCCATTCTTATTAAAAAATTAGAATAATAGTACATATACTAAATTCGATAAGGATAACTAGTTAATGTCATGAATATATATTCACTTTGAAAACTAGTTACAAGTATATCGATCATACTAGAAATGATTAATTGATTAAATTGATACCGATTAAATAAATTGTGAGTCGGACCCCAAACATGGGGAGGGACCAACTAATACATATTCTTGGACCTCGGTAAATTGAACAAAAAGTCCAAGGATAAAGAAGTATGTG